TTGAAGTGAATATATATATATATATATATATATATATATATATATATATATATATATAAAACCTGCAATCAACCACCAAGTACAAAAATATAAAGTGCCATTATGTGAGATGAAGAAAAAGATGAGTTAAAATAAATTTGTATAGTGCCTTCCCCCAAATTTATATATATATTGATAAAAGTATATGAAAAGGATTATTTTTCAATATATATATATATATATATATATATATATATTATATATATATATATATATAAATATGGAATATATATATATATATATATATATATGTCTGATATATATTATATATATATATATATATATTTATATATATTTCATATATATATATGTTATTATATATTACTGAATTATTAATATTAATATTCCATAATATATATATATATATATATATATATATATATATATATATATATATATATATATATATATATATATATATATATATCTCTCATTTTTAGTTACAATATCTAAATTTATTAAGTACTTTTATATTAAATTATTTAACCCAAATTAGTTTTAATTTCTCATGTCTGCAGATTAGTAGTAACTTCCATATAGAAGATATTTACATCTTCATCTCTCTCATATAACAGATCTGAAAGGTAAAGTTTTAGATCCTGTTAAAACTGCAAATTCAAGAGAAATTAAGAATAAGAGTTCACTCATTAAGTTTATCAAAAATGAAATCAAAAGATATGACTTAAATTAAAATATAAAATTTTTAAAAGTGATAATATGGGGCTGAAATTAATAATGAAAATTTAGAAAATATTGGAGTTGCCTGTTCTGCATTTCAATCTAAGTCATGCTAACTACATAATATAAATTTTCATGGAATGAACACAATTGGCCAAATCTATTCATGTATCTTTCTCTCCTCCTTTGTCAAACTATGAACATGTCTTTGCAACAGTTGTGCTACAGTGCATATAGAAGAAAGTCAAAGAAACAAGAAAAATATTTGAAAAAATAAAACATGAGAAAAAAAATTGTCAAAAATTTAAATTATAGTATAGTAGTTCTAATTCACAGAGTATTAGAATATTTGCGAAATTATAAACATATGGAACATAAAATATATAAATAATTTGGTTATTTTTGACAAGCTCTCATTATAACTTTTTTATAATAGGAATTATAGTTTAAAAAAATAAATAAATAAATAAAAAATAAAGTATGCCACAGTTAAGATTATTGGATAAAGATGAGCTATTTCAAAACCATATAATTTTATGGAGATGATATTTTACTATCGCTTGATACAATTTAGAAAGAAACTATTATGCTAGCTACACAAATAATTGGCCTAAAGTAGTGTAGCTAAGCAAATTTATCTTAAAGTGGCTTTTATAAGAATTTTCACCTTCAGTAATCAAACTGACATCTTAATCATATTTTAAATAGATTGATTTTGCAGAAGACATGGCTCACAATATTAAATAGTACAAAACATTCAACAAAGAATAAAAGAAGTAAAGATAAAAAGCAATGTCAAGTTAAATGTACTAATGACTATTGTGTTAGAAATGAAAAGTTAGCTGCAATGTTTCATTTTTTATGTATATAATATGGATGGACTTTTCTGCAGTAAACACCAAACAAAATACGTAAAGACCATTGAAAATAAAACTTTCTTGTGAGTGGGATGACACACACACACACACAACCATTTCCCAAAACCAAATCATCCTGTACAAATAGATGTAATTCATTCTGATTTCATTGTTACAGATTGCATAGTCTGATAGAGTCTCTATAAATTTGTAGCCTTAATTCCATTCATTTTTTCCATTTTGGAATAGTTTTTCCTAAACCACCATTGTTATGCAAGTAATCCTATTATTTAATTTCCAATGTGTTTTTTTACATTAAAATAAAAATAAATGTTAATTCAAAAAGTGGCACTGAATCTTGAAATAAATTCAATAAAAAAAAAAAAAAGGTTATTTTCTGATAAAGAATATATATAATAATAATATTTATTTTTTAAAATGAAACCTATAAATATTTTAAAGGTTAAAAGGTTATCTGCCAAGAATAATTTTATAATTAAAATCATGCTGATGAGAAGTTCAGGAATTTTTAGAATACAATTTTTTTTTAAACAGTAATAGAAATGTTCTGAACATGTACAAGATTCATTACTTTACAGAAAATGAAATACTTTATAAAAAGTGTTAAAAGTATAAATTAAACATTGTTCATGGATTTTATAATGGGGTAGGTAGATGGTATTAACAGAAGTTATTTTGCCAAACAGTATATGAGTGAAGATAAACTTTACATTGTAACAGCAGCCTGTTTTGAAAAAAAAAATTCCATTCATAATCATCAAGTACGATGAAAATAGAAATAATATTTTAGATCTATAAACATGTAGCCATAATTATTCATTGAACGAATTTTAAATTATACTAATTTTCTATGTATGGATTAGTTCTTCCAAAAATTGGTTTATTCTATTTACAGCTTTTTAAATTAAATAATAGCAGAAAGAAAGAAGGCATTAAAAATTTTTTTAAAAATGGTAGACAGCAGGTCCTGACCACATACTAACAGTGTGAAATTTGATCAGTACATATCCACAGAAATCTTCTCCAGCAGTTTTATTGAGAAGATCTAGGAGAATGGTGAAGTTAAGGAGTGAACAGAAAGGAAGACCTGCATGAATGCAAGCGCAATAAAGGTATCATGCTGTTGTCCATTCCTGGACAATAGAAATGGGATTCTCTTTGCAACCAGCAGGCAAGCATTAAACAAGATGTATTGACTATATTGATCCACTGTATCACCAAGCAGTTTCTAGAACATAATTTTTCTACTATATGTCAACTTCAACTATGAGAAGAAATTTGATAGCATAGAGAGGGAAGTCCTATGTAAACATTATCCCCAATGAGATCATATTAATACACAGAGTACTCACTAGGGATCATTCTGGAAAGCTGTGTAAGGGGGACAACTGTGTGCTTTGACATTGAAATTGGGGTCCATGAGAAACGTGTCATGGACTCCAATTTCCCTTTCCGGTGATCAACTGAATTGTGAAGACATCTCCAGAAGGAACATCATATGGTACTGATGATGTAGCACTCCCATCTTGCAACTAGGGACAGACAGGACAAAAGGACACTTCTAGCAAAGATTTCAGTAGAAACGAGTACTGATTTCAACAATAAAAACAAAAGAAAAATATCAGTTTAAACAAACTTAGTATTTTACAGTTTAAATTTTATCAATACATTTTTATACTAATTTTATTACGTAGGTAATGAAAAATGATTGTAAAGTAAAATTACATCTAATAGCAACAATTATAATGAAAAAAACATAAGAAAATTTAAAGTACAACTATAAGAAAATAAAAATATTAAAAGCAATCTGCAGAGTTAATCTTTTAAAATTAATTATGTATTCCTGTTTTACTTTTAAGCCATTAACAAAAATGACTCATTTAAATATTTTCTTTGTGGTTGCAAGAAGCAAAAAATATATGAATAAAATCTTCACTTTGGTAAAATATATAAAAACAAGGCACCATGCATATTATGAAGGCATTTTGTTACAGAAAGAACTAGAAAGATCAAAGGTAAGAACAGAGATGTTAAACTTATAGTTATTAAAGCATCAGATTTGGACTGCTAGAAATAAATTTGATCACTCCTATTATTTTATCATCGATGTAGCTACAGTGAAAAGTATTAAGCTAGCATTATATCAAAATATATGCACAATTTGAATATTAGCCAACATATACATGCTGTAGTTTAGTGTTACTGCTTGATTTTTCAGACAAAATATTTCATCTGGCATCAATAAATTCCTCCAAGTGTTAATAATTTTTTTCCAAGTTTTTCCAGTTATTTTTTCTTGACATTCTATAAGATTTCAACTTCAGATTGTATAATCTTCATATTTAAACAAATACAATCAAAAATGTAAATTACTAACTGATCTGCTCTAGTTTATTATTAGTAATCCATTACATTTTTACTAGAGTTAATACAAATTATTCTTTTTAAATTCAGTAGAAGGCAATTTTGAGATGAGAGATGCTAGATGATAATGATAAAAAAAAAAAAAACAGTATACAAAAATAATACTAAAAATTATTTATGCCTGAAGATATATAACTTGACAGTTCTTATGAAAAAGTTTCTGTCTGAATTTCTGAGATGAAGGCCATATCTTGATTGTTAGTTATATTTCAGCTGATGTAGTCTCAAGAACTTGTCAAGTACCAAACAGATGTTCTCAAAGTTTCAAACTCAATTGTTTATGCAAAAAAAGTTTGCATCTTAGTATAGACAGTGGAATGACAACAGTTCCCCATTATGTATAAATGGTTTCAGTTTGAAATTCCTAGAACATTACCAAATATGAAAGGTGTCTGAAAAAGGTTGGAGGGTACAGTGACTGAATGTCGTGATTATAACCAAGCTGAAGGCAACAGTTTGAATGAATCTGTATAATAATCTAAATTTCATGTAATCATTGTTTTCAGTGTATGTTATGGTGGTCTGTAAGTTCAAACAATACTACTTGAATATTTTTCTTAGAAAATTCAGTTATTTTATGGATAAATCCTTTACTTCTCATGATATTAATAGAACATCAGAATCAAAACAATAAACTCTTCTAAATACTAATTCCTACTTTGTTATGGGTCTATAATATAACTTTAATTATTAAAACTAATCTTAATCTGCTGCCATAAAGTGAGTAAATTGTAAGGTGGGTAATAAACTTCTATTTTTGAGGCATAAATTTCCTTTTTCACTGAAACTCTTATTTTTCTTTTGCTTAAAATGTTTAATTTCGAAAATCATTAGAATGAATTTTTTTTTCAAACTTTAAACCAACGAGTAGAAAAGAAAAGCATTAAAAATAATTAATTGAAAAATATCCAGGAACAAACAAAAGATTTTTCCATTATTCATGTTTGAGAACAATTTTGATCATGGCAAAGTTCTCTCTTATTAGTAAATATAGTTTTGTGATGCTGTTGACTTTTCAAGGGAACTCATAACATCATCGACATTGGTTTGTAGTTTTTTATATTCTCCAGAATTTGGGCGACGGCTTCGTTTCTGATTGCGACCCTCAATGATGAATGCAATAATCTGAAGAAAAATAAAATTGTAATAGTATGAATATAACAGGTTCTTTCTTTTCAAAGCCAATTGTCTAGCACATCAATTTCAATGACTAACTACAGTCCCCTAAACATATATATAATTCTAACAATGACATTCAATTAAAGCAATTAAAAATAACTTGCAAAACATGTAATATTTTGCTACTTGAAAATAAACGTGCTCATAGTATAATTTTGCATTGAACATTAATATTAAATATAATCATCGTCTTCAAATTTCTTAGATGAAGTATTGTTATTTAATACTAGTATTTCTTTCATCTTATTTTTGTTACTTTTTATTGAAACTCTCAGGTTATTTTACTACTGCAATTAAGCAACATAAATTGAAAATAAGTCACAGTAAGATTTTTTTTGATTTTTTTTTTTTAATAGTTCTTATTTCAGTCAAAGTTTTACACTATCTTCTCTAAAGAAGCACCAGTTTTAAGCAAAGCAATTGTACATGCCAAACAGAAATATACTACTAAAACTTAACTTACTCCATCGGTGTTTTTCTCAGTCAATCAGGAGTATTCAACAAGAGGTAAGTTTTCTTTCATCTTATTTTTGTTACTTTGCTCAGAACAACAAATTAAAATATTATTTAGTGAATTTCAAAGAATAAAAATCCTTATAAATATTTAATGCCTGAATGCTAATTTATTTTTTCTTGTTAAACTTTCAAGAATGAAAGGCTTTCTCCACTTTTCTAAAGTTAAACTAGAGGTTTCAGAATAGATGTGCTTAAATTTATGTTTGAATTTATTTTTCCTTTGATTTTATATCCCCCACAAGTTCTTATACTCAAAATCATGATTAAATGGTTGCTAAAGTAATTTTATTAGTTCCTAAACTAAAACTTAGTCATTTATACGATTTTGATAAGCTACTCCTAGCAGAGTGATAATATTTTAATCCACACAAATAAAGAGCGAGCTGATCATTTCAAAGCTAATTTTATGTAATCTATAACATTATTAAAAGTATTAACCATTGTTTTTATCATGCAATAATTATAGCAAAAAATTCTATTACAGAATTAAATTTCTTATACAAGACAGTTTTACTAGAAATTTTATTCTTCTAATTTAACAAAATTTACTTCCTAACTTTTGAAGATATCAATTCATTTAAATTTTTTGCAAAGCAATTGTACAATGTAAATTACTAACTTTAACAACATTCAACATTGCCTGAAGTTAAATAGTACACAAAAATTCAATTTTCATACAAAAGAAAAATGAAAGTAATAACCAATATTAACCCAATATACAGTAGCATCCAATATTAGAGAATTAAAGTTTAAAAATTAAAAATCTGCATTTGTACAAATTCAAAAATTTGCAGTATATATTCTTAAAAGTTTGTTCTACACAATGGTAATTTTACATAGAATAAAAGCAATGAAGAAAGTTATAGAACAAAGACTATCATACAAAAATATACCATCTAACATTAGCAAACAGAATGGTTAAAACAAATGTAAATTAATGACACTATTGACTTAACACTGACACAGAATACTGATAAGATAAACAGGCCATGGCTATTAACCACTTCTATACATCAACAACCACAGGACTTCATTAATTTTGTGACATTGTCCAAGAATGATTTTATTGCATTCCCCATGCAGTTAATGTCACTGATTCCTTACTCTAATATTATTAATGATCTTTCAGTTTCATTAGACTGAAATTTAAACTTTGGACAGATCATGCCATAATCTTAATGTTTTATGCTTGGAAAAATTGTTTTACTATTTTATCTTCCATAAATACAAATAGATACACTCACACAATGCTCAATAATATACTGCAGCATTTACTTTGCCATATAACTGAATGAGTAAACCAACACCAGAGAGCATCACCAATATCAACATGTCACCAGCTCCAAATTTAATCGATATTTCCCTGCCCCCATTTAAAGAAGTATCTCATCTTTATTCTGTAAAACATACTGCTAGCCATGAGAAACAACTAAATTCACCTTATTTTCATTGCTAAAGAACACTTTTGCCCAACTTTTAGTCAGTCCAAACAACATTCCTATTTGAAAAATCTTTTTGGTTCTTATTCATGAGGGTTTTGACGGCAGGAGAATTTGCATGAAACCTTATCAGTAATGAAATGCTAACATTTTCATGTCAAATTCATTGCTTACTCTAAACAATGCCTGCCACTGTACCAAAACTGTCCATCAGAAAATATTTAGATTGCGAGATTCTAAGTTGTTTTACTTGACAGAACCTTGTATTATCACAAAACTTTAATATTCTAGAAATTCTGAGATCAGTTAACTTTTTTAATATAATTATGGCGTGAGATTTTAAAATGCTGAGTAATTCAATTTTATAATTGCTTGTTATTGTGATAATTTTGAAAACAATGTCAAAGATATATAAGAAATAGTTGTTTACATTGCAATTTTGTCATTTTTTAAAAATAAACCATAAATACAAATGACAACATTCTCTAATTTTGAAAGCTTTTTATTTACTTTTTTAAGCAAATTCACCATAGTGCAAAACAAAGTTTTAAGAATATTTACAGCAATATTTATACAAATCAAATTTCTAGAATTGTAAATTTCTGATTTTTCAACTTTTGTCCTCTAATACTGGAATACTGTAGTATGTCAAAATTTAAATAAATAACTTTGTTTTTAAGGTTAAACAAAGAGAAAGAGAGAGAGGATTACTTTTTAAATATAATACTGTACAGAAAAAGATTTCAAATTATTTTTATATGAACAAAAATTGTTTTATATCACTTAAGATACTTTTGGAAAGTATATTCAAACTAAGACCAAGAAGAAAAAAAAAACATTCAACAAAATTGTATTGGTTAATGGTAATTAATAAAATGTCAACCAGTTATAATATGCTTTCACAAACTTACAAAAAATATCCTTTTTTTCTTGGTAACTCAACTTACAGACTAATTTTGAATAATATTTTAAGTAATCAATTTTATTGGTGTATATCTAAAACAATCATGTGGGGGAGAGAACTTTACCTTCTGCTTGTTGTGAAAGACAATATATCCAGCAATACAAAGTACAATGGCAGTGAGGAAATAACCCATAAAGTGTGCTGAAGATGGAGTTTCATTGTATTCAGCTGGTAACAAAGTTTTTTGTTTTGCATTCCTGTCATTGGTGTCTGAAATGTATATAAAATTAAAAATAAATTTTCAGTCCAAGTAATTGCCATTCACAATATAGTGTTTTGGTTCTTAAGAATACTACATTATGAATGGCAAATAACAGACAGATTTACTATAAATAACAATAAATAGTTCTAGATGCAAGCACAAGGTCAAAATAATGAAAGAAATAATAACAAACAAAACAATTGGTGAAAATAAACATATTCTGAAACATTTTGTTACCCTTAAAAATTATTAAGCAAAAGCTGAGCAAGTAATATTTATTTTGCAATGATAGAGAAATTATTCTTTGGATGTGTACATGGAAGAAATGCAGCAATATATTTAAATCAATGAGACCCTGTTGTACGAAGACCAACAGCAAGTGTATCAGAAGGATGACATCAGTAACAACAATGGAGGGATTTTCTTCTTGGATGCACCTGGAGGAACTAGTAAAACTTTTATAACTAATCTTCTTTTACCTGCAGTGAGACTTCAAAGAAAAGTAGCTCTAACATCATCTAGAATTGCAGCTACCCTCTTTCTTGGGGAGTGTACAGCACACAGCACCTTCAAATTTCCATTTGAACTAAAATGAAACCCTCATTTGCAACATCAAAAGAGGAATCAACTTGGCTAATCTACTAGAGACAAGCTTCATTGTCTGGGATGAACATACCATGGAACACAAGCAAGCATTTGAGACCCTGGACAAAACATTCAAAGACATTAGACAGAATTCACAAATCATGGAAGGTATCACTGTGCTACTCTCTGGTGATTTTAGATAAACATTACCAGTCATTACAAGAGGAACTCCAGCTGATGAAATGCTTGCCTGAAAAATTCTTACATCTAGAACCATGTTCAAAGATTCAACCTGAAAAAAAAAAAGCACGAGTTAGAATTACAGGTGACCTGTAGAAAGAAGATTTGCTGCTTTGCTGTTGCAATGGAACCATCAAAATGGACCAAATTAGAGATATTTCACTCCCAAATGGTTGTGGAGTTTCAGCCTCAAGTATCCAAGACTTGATTAACCATGTTTATCCAAAGATCAAACACCATTTCATGGATTCAGACCAGCTTTGTGAAAGGGCCATATTAACTCCCAAGAACCAAACTGTGGATAGCATCAACAGAAAACTTCTCCAAGAAATTCCAAAAGAAAGCATGAAGTACTTTCCCATTGACACTGTGGTTGAACAAGAGCAAGCAGTGCAATAGAGTTCCTGACCTCATTGGATACCACTGGAATGCCATCACACAAACTTGAATTAAAAGAAAATGTGCCAGTTCTGCTATTGGGAAATCTAGATCCTCCAAAGCTTTGTAATGGAAGAAAGCAGAGAACCTTACTGGTCCAGGAAAGGAGGAAAGAGTTTTAAATTTCAATAATCCTCTTAATTCCTGCAGATCTTCCTTTTGAGTTCAAAAGACTTCAGTCTCCATTGAGAGTGGGTTATGCAATGTTTATCAATAAGTCCCAAGGACAATCATTGAAAGTAACTGGACTTCATCTGATGGAAACCTGCTTTTTTCATGGGCAGCTCTGTTGGTCATGCAATGGTTGGGAATGAAAACAAGCTACTTATACTGAACCCGAATGGGGAAAACCAAAAATAATGTTTATCATGCAGCTTTGCAATAAGTTTCAAATAGACCAATTTTATCATTGTTTCGATGAAAACTATTACTTGTTTAAAGAATATTCTTCAAGTTTAATAAAATTTAATATGTATTCAATGCACAAAGTGGCATTGTTGGACCAAAGGTTTAATCAAGAGCACTCTTTAGGAGCTAGCTTAAATGCCACCTAACAGTGCAGCTTTTAATCTCAGTCAGTTGTGTGCCATGCGTGATACACACTTAGGCAATCATGTATCTTTTGATACATGACTGATGCAGCAGATTTTTTTCCCCAACAGTAGGTTGCCATTTCTTTCTGCAGTAGATCAGTTGACATCCAAGGCTATAATACCCAATCTGTCCTGCTATTTACCCATAGCTGGGGGGAGAAGAAGAGAATTCATACCTTTCCCAGGGGGTATTAGCATGTAAGTGAATGTAATGGATTCAACTGGAATTTGAACTTGGCTCTCTGATTCCTCAATCCGAGCCACTATTACTCCATCTAGTAAACAATAATTCCCAGTTTTAAACATTTTAAGATGAACTAAGAAAATATTTATAAAATCATAAAGAAAATGCCATATATAAATACTGCTTTTTGGTAAGAACTTCTAATGTAATTTTTACCATATATATTTTTTGCTTTACAGACAAAGGCATTAACTGAAAAAAAAAAAAAATACTTTTAAATAAGTTTTGTAAAGATTCCTAGATTATTCAATTAATTTCACAAAATGAAATTAAAATTAACATAACAAAAACATATCTAAATTATTTAATGAACCTTCTATATCTGAATTGCTGTAATTTCTAATGACATAATACAAATGAAAACTATGTTTGGGTCATCAACAAAAATTCATCATTTCAAAGTTTGGAAATTGTTTATGATTTATCATTATAAGTGTCTGATAGTATTTAATGTGGTCTCTAATTTGTTAGCTTTCAATTTTTGATAATTTTTTGATGTGACTAAATTCAGTGCAATTTAGAATATTTTTTATAGAACCTTAAATCCTTAGAAAAAAAAACACTAGATCTACAAAATATTTTAAGAGTGGTTAGAAAAGATTTTAAAAATGTGCACATGGTATAATGGTTAGCAACTCAGAACAAAAAATCAGCAGGCCAACTTCAAAATACAGTCAAGTTCATTACTTTCACACAAATACCCTTAAGAAAGACATGAAACCATTTATCTCCCCCATGCTATGGGCTAAATAGTAAACCAAACTGGACTCTTCAACTTTGGCCAGCAACCAGTCCAAAGAAAGAACTTATTTCTAAACACAAGTAGTTTGAACTAAGGTTAGGACTACATGGTCATCTATGAAAGGGAAAACCCTGACAGAAAACCAACCATTCCTCAGAAGGGGTTGGGCAACTTGTGGAAGAATTTGATTACAGAAACCTCACTAATAACCTGGAAGAAAGAGCTTAGTAAAGCCATTGATGCTCTAACTTGTGGAAAAGCACTGAGTGAAGACAGCATATTTGCCAGATATCAAATGCAGTAAGACAGCTTTATTGAAACCACTTCATAGTCTTCTGAACTTCTATTGAAGTGAAGGCAAGGTTCCTTATGATATGAACAAGAAAATTACCTTGTATAAAAACAAAAGCAACTGCAGTGACTGCAAAAACTACTAGAGCATCTCCCTGTTAAGCATTGTCAGAAAGTTTTTCCCAGAGTGGTTTTAACTAAACTCCAAGACCTTGTTGACTGCATCAATCCAGACTCCCAATGTGGATTTAGGACTAAGGGATCCACATCTGACATGACCTCTTCACATTAACTCCAACAAAAATGTCATGAACAACAAATGCCACACTATACATCACCTTCATCGATGTCTCAAAGATATTTGACTTTGTTAGCAGGAAAGGTCTGTTTCAGTTACTAATAAAAATTGGATGTCCCTCACAGTTGCATCACCTTTAATGGAAACATGCATGATGTAGCCAGCTATAATGGTGAAACTTTAATGCCCTTCACAATTCAGAGTGGCATAAAACAAGGATGCATTTTAGAACTAACTTTCTTTAGCATCTTTTCCATGCTATTGAACATTCGGACAATCCAGAGGTGTGTACTTACACACAAGAAGTAATGGTAAATTATTCAACTTGGCCCACCTGAGAGCAAAGATGAAGGTGCATGCAGTACTCAAAAAAAATGTGGTCTTGCTGATGATGCAGCACTGACCACACAAAAACAACCTCTAACAAGTGATTAGTTATTTCAATCATGCCTGTAAGAAATTCAAGCTGAATATCAACATAAAAAAAGCAAACATCAGAGATTAAGATGTTTCTGCATCTTCATCAATCAGCATCACCAAAGCTGCAACAGTGATGGCCAAATTGAGCAAGAGAGTATAGAACAACATTTAGCTGACAAGGCTCCTACCTAAAAGGCATTTCAAGCAGGTGTCCTTAGTACTTTATGTCAGCAAAACCTGGACAACATACATCAGACAGGAAACTGCCTGGAAAGCTAACTCCACTATGATTTATCCTCAGTAAATGGAGAGACAAAATTACTAACACTGCTGTGCTGGAGCACACATTTTCTCCTTTGTCAAATTCATCTTTGATAGCTGGGTGATGTATACCAAGAGATATCATGTACAGTGAGCTAGTCACAGGACACTATCCAGGTTACACTGCATTATGTTTCAAGGAAATTTGAAAGAGGAACCTGAAACTCACAAGCATTGATACGGGTAGCTGGGAACAGCTAGTAGATGATTGCAGTGGCTGGCACCATGCTGTTCAAGGAGGAGTTATGAAGGACAGGAAAAGGTGAATGCAACTGTTGGAGATCAGAAGACAATGCAGGAAGCAGAGAGAGAGAGATCAGACCTTCATTCCACATTCCAGCTTAATCTGTCAGACCCGCAGAAGAAAGTATCATACAAAGATTGAACTATTAAACCACTCCAGATACTGGATTGAAAAGGACTGAATTTTGACCCAACAGGCTGCTACCATTATTTTGCAAGATAAACAAATACCTACTATATACTACAATGTAAAATCCAAAATGATCTGATAATCTTTCTCTTAATTCCCAGTTAATGGTTGAAACAAAAATCAAAGTATATATATATTATTATTATAATAATAATAATAATAATAATAATAATAATAATAATAATAATAATAATTATAATAAACTCTCCCGTCGAGATTCGACGTATGAGAGTCAAGCAGATCAGTTTCCAGGAAACCGACAGCTCAACACATGAGATTTGATTATAGTGGTGAAGGCCTCGTGCAGGACCATCCACACTTGTTGAAGGGACGAATACAGAGACCTGGTGCATCGAATGCCGCAAGGTTCCCAAATGACCCTCCGCAGGTTTTGAATTCAGAG